TATATATATATTCTTTTAATTAAAAGGAGAGTAGACAAACAAAATGGCATTCTTTAGGACGTTACAATTACTCACACGACGCATTTCTGTTAGTGCCGAGATCTCAGTTCCTACAGTGGTCAAGTAACCTGACAGAGTCTATAGAAAAAGGATATAGGAAAAATCTTCAAAGGATCAGAGCAATAGCAACAACAAAAATCCGTTAAGAGGCTCAAAAGCTTTGTGGTTAGGGAAAGTAGAAGAAATAAACGAAAAAGACTTAGTTTATAGAAACGGTGGCTATATTGACACAATAGAAGTATTCACTGGTGTAAGTTTTGGAAATTCATTGACACAGACTGTCAAGGAAAGGAACAAAGCAGGACTCAGTAAAGGAACAGACAGCCCTATAATCAATATATGGTATTAAAAGTGATGGCTATTGGACTATGGACCATCACGATTCAAGGGATAAATCAATCACCAGTTCCCAGAAATTAGGCAGGCACCTCTCTTCAGTCATCCATTAGAAGACTTTTGCATTTTCATGGGAGGAATGTGATACTAACCAGAGTCAGGAAAAGATACTAAACCAGATGAATAAAAGCCCAAATTTACTCAGTCAATTCGGGGAAGGAAGGGGTGTCTGCTTGCTGGGTTTTTTTATTATTATTATTTTTGCACCAGTTGCTTCTGCAGTCAGCTTCTCGTTGTCACTCTTGCTATTAAAACAGATTAAAGTGTTTTTCATTCTTCATTTCAGTTGCTTTTAACAGACCTCTACACAAGTCAAAAATTTCTCTGTGTCAAAGCAGTATTTTTCACCCTAGGCTTTTCTAAGAGCTATTATTTCTTTATTCATAGAATACTGTATTGTATTCTTATTTACTGTATTGTATTGTTAAAAATATACATGTATTTTGAAATGTGAAAAAAACTTTGTGAGAGGAGATAGGGAAAAAAAAGCTGGCAATGATTTACCATAACATTATGAAATATAAATATAAAAAACTAATACTCAAAGTCAATTACTCTGAAAGCACATAAACTCAGTATACTTCTACTCAATGATTTACCTGTATGGGAGTGTTCCTCTCTGTGGGAGGGATCATATCTGGGGATAACACTTGTGGCGGATCAATCCCTTTACTGACCTTCTGTTGAATAAGGTACATTGCTAGGGCAAACTGATCTTTGCTTAGCTTTCCCATCTGTCTTGTGTCTGCCAAAGCCCTGGTAAAAACAGATTATACTTATAAACAAGCAAAACAGAGACTGAATATTTTATCAAGAAGTCTGAAATACTAATACATATCATTTTGTTTTGGCCTCAGAGTTTGCTTATTCTAGTGAAAGAGTTCCACAAATAAACACAACATTTTATTTTTAGCTGAATAAAGCAGCATCACTCTCTGAAAAAATATGTAGAACATCAGAACTGCAAAAAACAATCATCATTCACAGACTGACCTACATCCCCCTCCCAGGAAAACAAAGAGAGAATTTACTCCTCCCTGCACTAAAAAGGAGGAGTTTTTCCCATATAGCCAACATGTCTAATAATACTTCAATAAGACAGGTAAAAAGGGATTTTTTTTTTTTTTTGGTATCACTAGCTTCATAATTCTGGCTGGATAATTTGATTTCCTAGACCAGACAGCTGCAGAAACACAGCTACTACTCAATTCTTACCATATATGTGCTAGGAGACTCTGGGACAGACCTGAATGCATAAAAATATCCTTTACTTCTTGGCCACTCACAAAACCGTCCATGTCCGTGTCTGTTTTTAAGAAAATATCATCGTATCGCACTTTATCAGATAGCGGTACTACCCAATTCACAGATGGCTGTAAAACAAAGTTTTATACTTCAGTCAAAAGAAAAATGATCTTTATCAACACACTGCCTGCAACACTCTTCAGATTTGGATGTGCTGAACATCTTGTACAATCAAATCTGATCAGTAAACAGGTATTTCCCCTTCTCCCATTAATGTTTCAGGTTAATACCTTTTATCTGAACTATAAATATCAATAAACAGCCCTTCATCAGCTGAAAAACATACTGTCTTCTGAACACAGACCCAGCTAGGCATACTAAGCCCCTGGCTCTACATGGAGTTTTAGAAGGTAGATTAATTCCCTCTTTTGTGTTAAAGTAGATATATCAATAAAGCCTTCCTATGGAAAGTGAAAATTCCCAGTAAGGTTTGCTACCTCACTGTCCTTAACACTAAAATTCACCTTCTAGCCTTCAGTTCTTCCAAATACCACGATCCTCATTCCCTCCATCCAAATCCCCCAACAACAAACCTTTTTTAAAAGCGCTTAGATGAGGAAGAGAGCAAGAATCCATCTAATTCTTCTGCAATTTACTAATATATTAAAAACAACTATCAGAAAACAAGATTTGTACCTGTGCTTGTTTGATGCTGTGCTTGGGAGACAAACTTCCTGTGCTATTCAGACTGTTCACGCTACCATGAGATGGGGTAGAACGTAGGCTATCTTTTGGTGGAGGACTTGCAGGGAGAACAGGAACTGCACCAGGAAATACAGGTGTCTTCTTTCTTTTGGAAGGTGGTATGAGAGAAGGGGGTAATACGGAAGGAACTGGCTCTTTCTCGAGAGCTCTATAAACCAAATGCATTGCCTGCAAAAGCAAAGAGGTCGGATGTAACATGTTATAAGAAGAGAAGAAAAACAACAAGATTGTCCAGTGTCAGTCATTCACATGTTAGTAAAACAAAGATGGTTAAGATTAGTGATGTAAGCCAGAGCAGGAGGTGCTTTTCAAAGTAATTCCAAAGTGTTTAAACTTCATGACACAAGCATGAGTCAGTAGATGCTTCTGAAAAAGATCGTTTCATAGCTGCAAGTGAACGACCTAGGTTAGAACAGCAGACTAGCAGAGAAAGTTGCAAACCTCCAGATACATTTTTGAGCAATTTGCTCTAGCACATATTCTGTGAATTGATAATTTAAAGCAACCTACCACAGCAAATTCATCTTTGTCCAGGTGACCATCTTTGTCAATATCACTGAGATCCCAGACCTATGGCAATTATGATAAACACAGTGATTTAGAGAACAAGTTACATTTTGTATTGATGATGATCATCACCGTATTAAGTATGCTAATAATCTCTAAAGGCTCATAATAGATTTTTGTGAAGATCATATTAGTTATGTTAGACCTAGCTAAACATCATCTGATGAAACAGACTGGATTAGAGTTTTCTGGCAAAATAAACCAAGTATTTTGTGGAAACACTGGTTTTAAAAACTTCTGGATGCAACATAGGCAGGTTTCTCATCTCTCCATGTAGCAACTAAGGACTCATCAAGCCGACTAAAAACATCTAGAGGCGGCTTCTGGAATTCTGCAGAAAGGAATTTAAGCATCTACCAACTTTAGTTACATTATTAGTTCAAGTACAGTCAACAGAACTTTCAAGTGAGATTTAGAGGGATGCAAAACCTGGGACTTAGCCTTCAGCTAATACTGTTTTAGCATTAATATGACTGGGACACAATATAGCATAGCGAACAGAACGCTAGAGTGAAGCTCAGTCATTTGAATTCTACTCCCTGCTTTAACATTGAGCCTCTATGTAAACTTAAGCTGTTGAGTTGAGTTATTTCTTTTGCCCGTTTCCTTGCTCCCCTGTCTTCTGTGCAAGCTTTTCTGAAACAGGAACAAGCTTCCTGGCATTTCTACCATGACAGTGACAAGATGAAATAGGAAGTCTTGTAAGATTGAGTGCTTCATAATATTCCAGTACAAAATTAAAACAAGTTATACTTAGATTGTGCAAATAATACAGAGAAAGAAGTCCCTCCTGAAGAGAGGAAAGTATATCATAAGGAAGATACAGCTCTTACACGGAATATATTAACTCTCAAGCATATCAATATGTAAAACACTGAATACATTTTTAAATTGAAGTAGAAAAATACTTTAAGGGTGTTCGCTCCTCTTGCAAATATGCAATGGATGCACTAAATGTGGATCTCAGAAGTGGTTATAAATATACATTACAAACAAACAACCAAAAAAGAAACTCAAACAAACAGACTGATAATTTGACAGCTACACTAAACTAGGATCCTTTATAGTCTTCTCTTGTGCAAACAGTACATAGATTTTATGATATGTCTAATAACTTGTATTTGGGAAATGACCAAACACTGGACTATAATGCTATAAAAGATATTATGGTTTAGGAGAGGTTTTTCTTTTCTTTAAGCAGATGGAAACAAAATTTCCAGCTCTTAAAATCAAGAGAAAGATAATGAGGCCAATCTACTCTAGGACCTAAATTATTATTGTTGTTGTTATATCTAAGTGGATGACTTCAGAGCCTACTTAATGATCTTACTTTATGGCATGCACTTCATGTAAAATCTCAGCCACAATCTGATCTATGTGGATAAGTTACACTTAAATATTTAACACGGCAACTAAGAGCAGTTAAATAGAGAATAACCAAATCTAAACAGCATACTTACCCTTCCTAGGATATCAAGAGGTAGCTTTGAATTCATCAGTACTGGTTTTACTTTGTCTCCTGAAAGTAAACCATTTACTGGCAAAAGGCTTTCAAAAATACCATCAAACTTTGCTTTTTCTTCCACCTAGTTGGTAAGAAATAGCCTGAATAAGTAAAAAAGTGTGCCTGTGTGAGTGTTGAAAATGAGATCTTGCAAGAAAGTAAGTCTGGTCAGTAAAGTATTCATTCTAAATTTCCAAGCTTTCTTGCAAGTACTATTATATGGGATTTAAATGTAAAACCCACGGAACTAGATTTAGGATCTTAGTTTCAAGGTTGAAATTATTACAGCTAAGAGAGCGTAGTATGTCACATCTATGTTTCTGTAGTTTTCCAGAAGGACAAAGCACTCCGATTAAAACACCGGTAACCAGATTTTAAACCAACTTTGACAAACTCTGTAGAACTAAAACTAAACCCTAGTCTTTCCAGATACTTTGCTTCTTTATAGTGCAACACAGAAACTAAAAATCATCCTTAGAAGTGATTTTATTAAATGTCTACTTTTTGGAAAACGTTGGCATCAGAAAATTATCTAAATACAGATATTCCAATGTATATAGCAAAAGTTAACTCAATTCCAATGATATATACTATGTGCACCACTGAATACTAATTAGAAAGTATTATGAACTCGAGCTATAAATTAATACTTCAGGATGGATTTGGTGAAATGCTTCACTGTTCTCAGTGGGGTTCCTTCATACAAAGATGAAAGTGCCTACTATTAAGATTCTGGAAGAAATCCAGGCAGAAGATTAAAATTCATTGTGTGTCTTAAAAACATTACACCAGGGGTTGTCAAAGGCTTATTTAACACTTATTTGAAATATGAAACTACAGTTCAGTATTTTCTATTGTGCACAAATCTGCTCTTGGAAAGGAAGGACTTTTGAAATGGTAAATACAGTTGATACAAAATTCTCTCAATGGGAAAATTACACACAAGGAAAATATTTACTTTTAAAGAATGGATGGAATGTGTTATCTTATACACTTACCCTAACAGCCCAGTGAGTCTCTGTTGCAGGTGGCGTGATCAGTAAGGGACTGCTAGTGTCATGCTAAAATTAAAGAAAAAATTTAATACATTTATACACTCTCACATATATGCACACACAATTCTGCCTTTAATCCTTACTAATTGCTTTAAGAGATGGTTATATATACGAAGCTTTACTACACTGAAAAAGGAAAAGGAACTGCATACTTAACCGAATAAAAAAATTCTATGTCATATTGATTTGTGCTATTACAGTAGCTGGACCAGGACACTTGTCTATTGGTTACCTAACCACCAAACTAAGAGGCGAGCTAAGGAACGGTTCCCACAGCAGCTTCTGTTGGCCAAGCTGCAGTCCTGCCATTTACTACACATTCCCGCTGATCCAGCCCCAAAATCATTACTTTTCCTCTGCACAGGATTTAGTTTTTAGCCACATCAGCCCCCTGAACAAGCTCACTGCATAGTTACACTTGCACCACTCCGGGAAGGGGCTGGAACATATTGCTAGGGAAAACAGGACTTTAGCAGCCATAACTGCAGTTGTTTTAAGGAGAGGTTTGACAGCAGCCTAAAGTCTCAGAATCATGACATTTACGAGGTAGAAGATTATTGCAGCTTTCCATGTGAAGCCCTAGTTCTCAAATAATAAACATGCCTGTTTAGGTACATGCTACTTACAAATTTAGGAGGTGGCACAGTCAAGTTCAGACTGCTCAAGTTAACATCATGGCCGTTCTGTGCACACGCTACAAGGCGCAATGCGACATAGAAACCCTACAAACAATACAGTGTGGTCTGTTAAAAGCAGCAACCATTCTTAATCTCTGTTTTCAACAATCTATTTAGGATTTTTACTAATACTGTACATGTGCCACAGAGCAAAGCATGGAAGACACAAGTACCCATAGCCACTCAGTTAATTGCAAACTGACAACCGACACCGTTTTTTAAAGTTGATTTGAGAAAGCTTTACAGCACAAAGAGATGAAAATTTAAAAGCTAATTTTTAGAAAGAACTTTTTCAAAATTAGGTTACTTTTTCAGAATTTTTTCTTATGTATTAATATTTAAAAAAAAAAAATCAACAATTCTCCATATCAACAAGTAACCAGAGCATTTGATATTCCAAATCATTTTTAATACTGATAGAGGTATTACGTACTCTCTTGCAAGAAAGATTTCTAAAATAAATCTCACAATCATAGTTTCTATTTGTTAAATTCTCAATGACTGCCTATGCATATATATCACACACACCCTAATTATTTAAAAACCAGATGAGGGACAGAAAATTATAACCAACCAACTGCTCCAGCAGCCTCACTGAATAATATTAAAGTTTATAAGATTACTAGATATATACTTGGAAACAAAATCTCATCCTGTAAACAAAAACTTTAAATAAAGCTAAGGATAACTACTATGAATAATGTTTTCTTGAATGAAGGCTAATCTGTGGAAGGTAATATAACCGGTCTACATGCACATTTTATTTACCTGTTTATCTAAGTACCCTTTACCTTCTGGGTCAGCCAAATCCCATATCTGTAGAGATATAAAATAACAGTTATTGAAATTTTAAAATAACTAAACTCCTTTCAACAATTCATATTTTATGTCTTCTGGAACTGTTCACTGCAGCTTTCAAGTCATTAACTACAATATTATTTAATTCTCAAGTTAACAACAAAAATGTTTTGCAACAAAAATTTTTATTTTAGGGAGCTCCTCTTTCACATGGAGACTGACCTAACTACTCTTAGGGAACAAAACACAAATACCGAGGTGCCTGTCTTTTACATGATCTGAATTTTCTAACAATAAAGAATGTGTCACAAAACCATTAATACACAAAACGATGAACAAGTATTTTCTTGTGCTCTGTGCTCAACAGGGGATTCTACA